CTAGAATTCGTGGTTTATCAAAGATTTAATAAGGTAATACATCTAGTGAACATTTTTGAACATGATTTAATTTAGAGTATAGGGAACTTTTTAGTTGCAAAAGAGGTTAGTGAGCAAACTAATAGATGGCACGATTTGTCGTATAATTGCCATATTAAGTAGAATAAGTGTACTAATATATAATAGGAAACAAGTAAATTGGACCAATTTAATTTTAGTTGAAATTATGTAAATTTAAAAAAAAAATAATTTCAACTATTAATATTAGTTAGTAACTAGATATAAGGTATTTAGTATTTAAAGTTTTTATGCATTATTTACACATTTTGCTGGATTTAATTGAAAATAAATGGATATTTTTTTTTAATTAAAAACAAATTTATTTCAAGAAAAATTATAGTACGGTAAAATTAGGTAAAAAAAAAGGTACATTTTTATTAAGGTATTAAAAAAAAAATAATAATCAGTAAAAAAATAAAGAAAAAATATTTTTCATATAGAACACGATTTTGACAGAACCGCCCTTGAGATGAGAGAATCTGTTTGCTTTAAAGACTGACTAGCTGGCTAAGAAAAATTAAGGTAAGTTAAAAAAAATAAAATATATAAATAAATTAAATAATATTTAAATAAAGTAAATATATATAAAAAAATATACTATAAAAAATAAATTAATAATAAATTAATAAATAAATAAAATAAAAAAAAAAAATAAAACCATCACAATATATATATATATATATATATATATATATATATAACTCCACATAGTAGTTTTTTAGTTAATACAATTAATATAGATTATTATAACCTACTTCAAAAAGGAGGACGTTCTCAATTTGTCTGTATATATATTTTTTTGTATGTTCTTTAACACAATGTCCGATTTAAACGATTCTTTTTTTGCTGGAAAGAGGGTACTTTCGGGATGGTCCCATATAAATTTGGTCAAAATCTAATAATTGAGTCCATGAGAAAATTCTCAAACTTTTCATTTTTTATGTATGTTTAGCGATAATTCTTTACCACCTTATCCAATTTCTATAATTCTTTTCGTTAGTAAGGGGGTACCTCAGGGGTGGTCCCATATAAATTTGGTTAAGATGTGGTGATGGCATTTGCACCATTTTAAAGTCGGTTTTTAAAAATTCTTCTAATACTTGTTACGTAAATTAAAAGTTTAATAATTTGGTTTTATTTTGGTTTTATGATTTAACTTTGTATATGTTTAAGTACAGATAATTATTGTTACTGGCAGTTTATTTTAAATCATTAAAATAATATTTGGTTAATCCAAAGAAGGCAAACAAAAAAGCCATGTCACATTCAGTGTAATAATAAAAATTAGATATATAAATATAGTATATTATGTATCAACAGACTAAACTTTCACTTTCAATCCCAACTTTTTGTCGTAAAAGACTTCTAAATTTTTTACCAGTGACGTCCGTACCGGGTTTGAACTGAATATTTTTGAACAAAAATATGGTACGCCACTGCTTTTTCTAAAAACCAGAATTATCTTTGAAATCCTTATTTATTTTGAAGAAAATTTGGTTGACAGACGTACTTTCGTACGACGCCCCCTTTTCGCGCAAGAAAATAAAAACCAGTTTATTGAAACTGCTTTTGATATTTTGTTGAAATTTGGTAGGAACCCACCATGAGTGGAAACACTTTTTTTTGGGCAAAATTTCACAAAAATATCTAGAGTGATAAGAAACTTATGATAAAATAGTTATTTTTTTCTTAAAACTTTAACACCCAGCGATTTACACCCTTAAGTATCGGCACTCAATTAATAAATACCCTGTATTAATTGATATTACCTTATTCGAACCAATCGTCTATTTTTTCGTTATTTGTATTTATATTTCACAACTCTATACTCCTATATGTAATTTAATCTAACTAAACCCATTCACTAAATTAAAATATAAAAATAATGTAAAACCCTCTAAAAAATCGAACTGCGTTATAACAATAGGTTTGTTCCAACAAGAGTCCAAATCAGCACATGACCGTCAGACGCATGCGCAGTTTAAATTTGAGCGTTCCAACAAACTTTAACCAAATCCCTGATTGTAAGTCCACTGTTCCAACAAACATTTTGACCAATTTCGGATCGGGATCAAACCGTCAGACTGGTTTGTGAATTTTTCTCGGATTAGCAGTTCGAGTCTGCGCATATTTTCTATTTTATTTTCAAATTTATTTTTTCCGTTTGTGATTGACATTTGACATTTAGCTGTTTGTTGTTTTCGTTTCATTTTATAAATTTTTGTTTAGTTTTTGTATGCTGTGGTTTTTGTTATAAACATGTTAGAAATTATTGACGATTTTTCATCAGACGATTCTTTCGATTCTGATGAATTATCTACAAGTAGTGAAGATGATTTAGTTGAATTAGAAGAAGTATTATTGGGACAGCATCCTCGAAAAAAAAATGAAAATTACCTAGTTGAAATAGTCCCACAATTATTCCGAAAGTATTTATTTCAATCAATATGCTAGACAATTTGGGAAGTTAAGTGCAAGAGATCAAGTTTGTATCTACTTATGGTTTGTTGGGCGTCAAACGGCAAGCTTTAGAGATGTGGGTGATCGGTTTCATGTTACAATTAGCACTTTACACCGAATTATAAGAAGAATATCCTACTTCTTGTCAAATCAATCGAATAATATGTAAATTGGCCAAATGAAGAAGAAAAAATCAAATAGAGCAGCATTTTAGGCAAAATGGATTTCCAGGTGTACTTGAAGTTATTGATGGTACACACATCAAAATTGACAAACCATCACAAGATCCAGATTCTTATATAAACAGAAAAGGATACTTTTCAATTCAGGTAAAAAAGAAATCTTATTTCCTGTATAATTTACCCCCTTACAAGTAAACATTTAAAAACAGGTTGTCTTTGGATTCTTTGAAAAGGATACTATTAATATTTTCAAATAAAAAATCTAATGTGTCAACACATAACTTTCCTGTAGTTATTACACTTTATTAGAGGCTTTTTTGGTTATGTACCACCTCTGTAATTGTTTGGAGATTGGATAATTAAATATATATATTTTTAACACACATCATGAAACATTTTTTATATCTTCATTGCCAACAAAAATATTGAAAAATAAAAATTTTGCACTCTATAAAGTACCCCCCCAGATGTGCCTACCATGCCCAAAATTTAATTAGCTCACTGCAAGATGTATTAAAGCCTAATTTTAAAATTATGTATTTGTCCATTTTTGAGTTATTGAGGATACAGACAGACATCACGAAAATAGTCAAAACTTGACTCATATATTTGAAAATACTTATTATTTCATGTTCAGCATAACCCAGCCTTCTTGTTGTGCATCAACTAGTGATGCGAAAATATTCTCCCGAGAATATTTTCGAGAATGAGAATATTCTCGTGTAGAAAATTCTCAACGGTAATTTTCTCATAATGCTTAGTCTATAAGCACATAAATGGTTTTATTTTGTTATTGTTTATGATTCATATCATAAATAAATCTTTAAAGTTTATCTAAACCCATGAGTTTGAAAACTGTTTTTCATCAGGAATTGTTTACAACTAAGAGCGCTCACTGGTGAACACTGTCTTTTTGACTTAAATTGTTACACGATAAAAACAATGTAAATCATAGTATTTTTGTTGTTGCTGGTGAGAGTTGAGTTGGTTTTGGTAGATCGTTCTTAGAAAATTCTCATAATCGAGAATATTCTCCATTTTTTTATTCTCGAGAATTTTCCATCATTTCAAATAAAATCTTGGGATTTGATTAAAAAATATACCTAATCAGATAAATTCTCAATGTTGAATGTTAAGGTGTTCTGAATAAAATTGCACTTCATAAGGAATATTCATGATAATTTGAATTTTCTAAGCATGTAGGGCCTAACAAATATGATATATTGATATATAATAAAATATATTACCTATAAAGGAAAGCCAAGGCAGTTTTTATTTGAAAATATTTTTTTTGTATTAGGTTCAAACAAATACATATATTAAATTTTTAGATGCAGTTGGTATGTGATCATACAATGAGAGTACGTGATGTATTTGTTGGATATCCTGGATCTGTCCATGACAGCAGAGTTTTTCGAACATCCCCATTGAACAACACACTGGCAGAAAAATGTGGTAATAATTTGTACATATTAGGGGACAGTGGATATCCACTTTTACAACACCTGATAACTCCATTTAAAAATAAAGGACAGTTGACAAGACCTCAAATAAGATATAATACAATACTGTCGAGAAATAGAGTAATCATTGAACACACCATTGGAATTATAAAACAAAGGTTTCGACAGTTATTTCATCTAAAACTGAGAAATATCAGGGACATGGTACACCTAATTAGAGCCTGTGTTGTTCTTCACAATATATGTCTTGGGGACAATTTAAATTTCAACCAAGAAGTTTTAGAGGAACCAATTCAAGAAAATATTGAAAATGACGATATAGAAGATATTGAGCAAAACAGGAATGCAATAGAAATTAGGAATCGTATTGTAAATATATTATAATTATTTTTAATTTACCTACCTTTGTACAATTATTTTTAGTATAATTTACTCCTTCTATGCAGCCTTTAAAACTAGTTCTTATTTATGTATATTTATTAATACAATAAAAACTGTTTTAGCATTTGAACTTGATTTTATTTTTTGCTTATTTAAATTATAGTACCTAGGTATTTAACAAACAAAAAAAACAGAACCTATTCAAAAATATATATTGAAAAGTAAATACATAAGTAGGTAGCTAATAACAAAATAAACACAACTTAAACAAAAAATAAAAATCAGCCTTTTAAGGAACTAAAACAAAAATCAGCCTTTTAAGAAACAAAACTTAAAATATTTACAATAAACAGGCAAAATACATTTTATTATTTAAATAAAATATTTTTATTTATAAAAATGTATAATAAAAACAAAAAAAAACAGCCTTTTTAAGGAATTAAAAATAAAATATTTACAATAAAGAGGTAAATGAAGACTCTCCACTCGCAGTTAAAGTTTTGATCAAATCGTTTCTTTCCGCTAAAAGGTCATTTCTACGTTTAATTTCTTTTACTTTTTGTTTCTGGATTTCTATTTTTTCTCCTTCTATTTTTAATCTTTTGCTTTGGTATTCTTTCCTATCTTTTCTTATTTCATCTAAGATAGCATTTCTATTGACTAATATTTTACTTGCTTTTTTTGTTTTGTGTTTTTCATTTGGAATCAGCACAGGAATTTTATTCTCCTGATTATTACTGGGGCCATCAAATCTTTCATCAGATATTTCATCTATTGTTGTTGATGAAAGCAATATTTCGGGTCTAATATTTTTTTTTGCCCAAGATTTCCTCCATTTGTTGAGCATATGGAAATATCTTACGGCCTCCCCCAATTTGTTTATTGTTGTCTACATACTTCTTAAAGTTTCTATCAAGGACCCGCCACCTATTTTCGACATTGTTGGGGGTCGAATTGATGCTGAACGTTTCATTTAACTTTTTGGAAATCACTTCCCACAGCTTCTTAAGGCTTTTAATTTCAAAACTTCCCAATTTTTTCCTATATGACCCATACAACTCTATTAACGTTTGTATGTTCAACTGTCCAAAACCTGTATTAATTTTCTTCAGTTTGTGATTCTGGTAGAATTACAAACTCTATTAATTCTGCAAGGAAAAAATACATATTTAGAAAAAATGTAAAAAAAATATACCATTTTATTACCTTCCAAATTGTTCATAATTAGACTAATTGTCTTCCTATTCTAATTTGTTAAATATTTATCTGGATCTCGACGGCGGATTGAACTAATACAATTTTTAGATAAAACCACGATAAAACTCAAAGGGATCTATTATGATAAAACTAAAAACAAAAACACGGTGTGGAATAAAAAATATAATTGACATTTGACAAGCGTGATGACACTTGGCAGTCAGAATTGCGTTCCAACAAGAATTTAGTCAGAAAACAGTACACAAACAGTGCAGTAGTCACGCCTGCGCAATAAACAAATCAGAGATTAATTTCGGATCGGTCATGGATTCCTTGTTGGAACAAACCTAATATCTCGCAATGCACCGAGAAAAACAAATACGATTCTGGTTCCCCTAATTTTGGTAACTCTGAGTCACTCATTGTATAAATATATCGTAGTTGGATTTTTCGGTTCCTTCGTCTTAACTTCGCGCGTTACAGTTTGGAATACGTAGTCTCGGAAGTAATTTTGTAGTATTTAGGCTCCACCCCAAAGAGGTTAGAAAGGGTAGAGGTAACATAGGAAGCATTTGTCGCTGCGCGAATTTTGCCAAAACCGAAAAACTGGGTGGAAGGAGTAGGGAGATGTTCTGGGCCGGACTTAAATATTTGTATTGTAGTACCTAATTTTGGTGGGTAACTAAAAGATGAAAAATTATGAGACGTTTTTTTTGACTTTATTTGTTAGCACGATTCATGTATGATGAGGGCAATAACACTTTATCAATATATAACTAGCTAAGGGCCGATTCCACCGTTGTGTCAAACGAAGTTTAAATTATTAAAGATTAAAATGACATTGTTAATGTAAAAATGTCATTTTAAACTCCATTTAGTAATTTAAACTTCGTTTTTGTTAATATAAAAATGTCATTTTAATCTTCGTTTAGTATTTTAAACTTCGTTTAACAATACGGTGAAATCTACCCTAAGTAAAAGTTTATAAAATTATTGCAACAAAATAGCTGTTGAGACAAAAAGTTATCGAAACAGCCAAAGTACTTTTTGCTCGAATTACACACAAGATTTTTTCTACGATCACACCAAAATAAAATAAATAATTAAATTTTATTAGAAATGTGTTACCTTTTCGTTCGTTATAATATTTCAAGTTTATTTGACATAAGCCTAGTCTTTGAAGAGAAAAAATGTTTTGGTACTTATATGCCGGTAATTATTTATGATTTAATTATTTCCAGAAAATACCGTTCAATGAATTAAAATATTAGGAAGTCAATTAATAGGTATTTATGTAACCAGTTACGAAATGCCTTATTTTGTGTAATGAGTAAATATTTGCGGGACGAGCGGAGCGAGGTTCCACAACATGAACGACTTACACAAAACGGCATTTCGTAACGTGTTTACATACAAGATTTTTTCTAATTTCGACTTGATTATTTATAAAATTGTGTTAAAAATGTTTCACCATCATTCTTATGTAGGTACTTCCAATCAAATATTTTAGAATTGTTTGTTATATTTGATTGCTCTACGACGTTTTTTTTTTTAATAGTAATAATAAAAATAAGGGACATGTGCAGTGTTTCCGATCTAATTTTTGACATTACCCGCGAGAAATTTGAAAAAAAACATTTTTACTCATTATCCTTAAAGAACTACGTCAAAATTTTACCCCCAACATTTCTGGGCAGTTTTTAATAACGGCGTTATTTTAAAAATAAAACGCAATTTACAGCTTTTCTTTTTTGTTGTTAAACGTAATGTCATATTTTCAAATGTGAAATGTCACTACTCATTGCCTTTTTTTCGATATTTGGTTATTTCGATTTTTCGTTTTTTGGATTTTTCGATTTTTTATTTTTCGATTTTTAGATTTTTCGATTACTCGATTTTCGATTTCTCGATTTTACGATTTTTTTCAACTTAAAAACCAAAAAAGAGGCAGTTTTATTTATTTTCATTTCGTAACTGGTTACATATTCAACTTTTCGTAATCATTTGCATAATGTTCTACTTTATGCAACTGGTTGCATAAAGTAGATCTTTTGACACTTGCTGCGATTACAAAATATATTACTTTATATGTCAAAATTAGAGAAAATAACAGAATGTAAATTAAATGGATAGTTCCCATATTAGCGAAATATTTGACGGAGACCTAAACACATAAAACACAATTTAAAAAATTTATTTCAAATTTTTCTTTATTTTGACTCTCATTTTGACTTTCAATAGGTAAACATGATAAAAAAATCGGCTTTATATTATGCTCCGATTTCACATATTCAATTTTATAATTATAATTTGACAATATTACTGCCCATCTACGTAGCCTGTTGGCTGAAAATTGGGGTATACATTTAGCTGGGTTAAAAATAGTTACCAGAGGTAAGTGATCTGAAACTAGGATAAAGAAATGTCCATATAAATATTCATTAATTTTATTTAAGCCAAAAATTATTGCAAGGACCTCTCTTTCAATTTGGGAATATTTTTGTTCGGACTTTGATAAGGTACGCGAAGCAGAAGCTACAGATTTCTCAATATTTTTTTCAAAAACATGACATCATGGCCCTTATTCCCACATTTGATGCATCTACGAATAATTTAATCGGCATCTTAGGCTAAAAATGCATAAGAGCATCATTTGTTGTTAATTTATTTTTGATTTATTCCAAAGATATCTTGCAAGAATTATCCTAAATCCATTTCACCCATAAAAAATAAAATAAAAAAAGTCCTAAAGCAAAATCATATCCTCCTTCCCGTTAGTGACTTAAAAAAATTACTTCCCAAAAAACTATCCTTAAGCCAGGTCCCTCCATTTTGTGGCGATAGTACTGTTTTTTTTTTTCATTGTGAATATTTTCTTCGCGGACCCCTCACAAAGGCTTTCGGAGCCCCAGGGCTCCGCGGAGCACACTTTGAGTAACACTGTTATAGAGAATTACTAAATAAATAGTTTTGAGAAAACTATTGAAATTAGTTGTGAAGTTTGAAACGAATAAATTGGCAATAAAATTGATATTTTTGTATTTGATTGTATGTTTCTCTTTTCACTTCCTAAAAAAAGATTCCCCATGAAACAAGAAATAGTAAACAGTTTATAATAATAACCTTTATTTGCTACTTATAACATGTACCAATGACCAAGTCCGATTCTGCTTATTTTCAAATCAACAAATATGGACGTCGACATAATCCTTAAAAATTAAATATCTCACCGAAATAAATGTAAGTTTCTTTTATCTCCATCACATTTCGCAGGTTTATTATAAATAAAGCTTTTTACAACACATATTGGCATTTTCAACGTTAATTTCCAAAATTTAAGTCAGTAAAATACCAAATTAATTCTCGTTGACACATTAAATTTGGATGGACAACGCTCTGACATGTGATGTTCTCAACTGTGATTGGTGGGTGTGAATCATTTCGAAATGGGATTATGCGCAGTGTCTTATGTTCCATCTAAGGTTTGTATAATCTAAGCTCCACCCTTAAGTTGTAATTTTTATACCTACTAAACTACCATTGCCCGTAGGTCTTTCAGTTTGTAATGTAAATTTTCCTCTTAAGGATAATATTTTAGAAATTACATGAAATATCTATGGATATTATTATGGGATAGTTAAGGAACTTATCTATCTATGAAGGAATGAACATAAATGCAAACACATACATAAAAAAAATATTTCTTTAAGTCGAACTCAGGTTTTTATTTTTGAGAAACATTCGACTTCCAAAGATTAGTTTTTATAACCAGGATTATGTTAAGGGGTATCTTCGTAACTCGAAACTGGAGATCCTGGTAGCACTTTCGCATCTGGGGAATGCCAAAAAATTTTACCTAATAATGATTCGCAACTGGTTTTACTCATTTTCTAAACTATATTACCTAATTGAATATACATAACTACTTTTTTATGGAAGAGATGGGATTTATGTATAAATAAGATGATAATAAAGTCGGTTTAAAAAAATTATTTTCATTCATTTAATATAATGCAGACATTCATATAATATAATGCAGAACCTTAGATAAAAGAGACCAAGGATATAACATTGCACATCGCGCACGTTGTCTATTCCAACCCTAAGTAACCCACCAATTAAAAATCATTGTGTTCACGACGCCACCCGAATTGCTCCGAAATTTCTATTCTAGTCTCCGCGTGAGTAAATCATTTATGGACTGCCGTTTTTGAATTATTTGTTGGTGTTATTATTATTAGCAATGCCACGATGTATAGTGAAAAATTGTATATACAAATAATATAAGTGTCAATGTTATGAGAAATAAGAAATATATTCGTTTTCTGCGGTAAATATTTGTTGACGTTTTGACATAAAGTCGCCATGATTCTTTGAGCTGAATACTTCAGATCCGCATTAAGGGGTTTCAATAAATATTAAGCATCAAATACATAATATTTCAGAAAATAGATTTCATAATGCATTAATTTACAAAAGAGTACACTTTTAAACATTTAATCTAAATAAGAAGTAAATAGGCATTGTTACTAATGAAATTTTGTTTTTAAAAAGTAATTTTATAAGAATATTGTTAGGAGCTTGTGATGTTGTGATGAGTGTATTATTGTTCCTAACAGTTGTACCTCGACTAGTTCTAAACTTTAATTT